CAGCCGCCACTGGTTAATACTAATGCTAACACATGTCTGAGCAATGCCAACACTAATGCTAACACTTGTCTGAGCAATGCTAATGCTAACACTTGTCTGAGCAATGCTAATGCTAACACTTGTCTGAGCAATGCTAATGCTAACACTTGTCTGAGCAACGCTAATGCTAACACTTGTCTGAGTGATGCTAACACTAACACTTGACTGAGCAATGCTAATACTAATGCTAACACATGTCTGAGCAATGCTAATGCTAACACTTGTCTGAGCAATGCTAACACTAATGCTAACACTTGTCTGAGCGATGCTAACACTAATGCTAACACTTGTCTGAGCAATGCTAACACTAAGGCTAACACATGTCTGAGCTCAATGGAGCTGCTACAAGAGTTTGTACATGCATCAGTGTCGACTGATTAGTGTTCTAAAAATAGCCTGAGTGAAGGTCCCCAAACAGTAACTGAGCTCTACCTGGTATTTCCTGTGTAGAAACAGTGTTTTAACACGTCCTCTTATAAAAGACTGGAAAGTACTTCGCATACGACTGACTAAAAGTGAAATTAATAAAACAAATACTATTACAAGTAAAAGTAAGAGAGTAGGCTGCTCAGATTGCTTCTTGCCTAAGTAATAAAGCGCCGCTCATAACCAGATCTGGGTTGTATGGTCCCTGTTCTGGTCACATTTTAATCTATTCAATGTTATGTGGATTCGTCACGATTTCATTTAACGAACACGAAATATTTCTTACATTTCATATAAAAAAGTTTCCAAAGAATTAAACATTAAGATTACAGTTTAAATTTTCAACCAAATATCCACACTATAGTGGTGAGAAAAATAAGTGTGAAGAACTTTGACATCTGTAATGTCCCCTTTCCTGCAATAGTGAAGAATCATTTAAAAAATCCTGCATCTGGATCGTGATCAAAATRTAAWGKTGTGTTCCTTTGGCCAATATCCACCTGTGGTAAACAGACAGACATACGCGGAGGTAATAAAAAAACTAATTTTAATTGTGAGGCCTGGAGTTTAAATACATTCTTCCCTCGGTTTGTTTCCGTCTGCAGCTCTTTCGTGGACGAGAACCTGACGTCGGGCTGTAACGCAGCGTGCAGCTGTGTCAGAGAACAGTACGACCCCGTGTGCGGCGCAGACGGCGTGATGTATTACTCCCCCTGCCACGCTGGCTGCACTTCAATCAACTCCACTGAGCTCTCCTCTGGTAAACAGGTACAAAACACTCTGTTTCWGCTCTGCCTGACTGCAGGGAAGCTCCTCCAACGATGACGACAGTGTGGAGCTGTTAAAGGACACCTGCGTGCTCAGCTGCCAGCTTTGTGTTGCTGATGTTTCCCTCTCAGAGGTATGAACCTGTTCTGACGCACGGCTCTGTTCCAGGTGTACTCTGGCTGCAGCTGTGTGCTGGGGAACGTTTCCTGGGGCGGGGAGGGCTTCGCTCAGGCGGGGAAGTGCAGCAGCTCCTGTAACCACATGGTGGCCTTCCTCACCCTCTTCTTCATCCTCATCTGCTTCACCTTCCTCAGCAGCATTCCTGCTCTCACTGCCACCCTCAGGTGCGGCACACTGACACGGTTATGAAGCGCTGCTCCTCTGCAGCAGGTGGCGCTCTGCACCGTTCTGCAGCGTTGCACTGGTTTCTGCATTTCTAATACATTCTAATTGATTTTGCTTTAAAGAAGAAAAGAACCTCATTATAGTTTATTTTGTACCAGTGAATTTTGATGGCAGAGGCTCCACAAGAATAGAAATGATTATAATCACACTGCAGATGAAATAGAGTGGTGTTTTAATCATAGCTGGATCTGCAGGGAGGATTTTATCCTTTTTAAAGACAGCAGAACAAGTGCAAATCTAACAACATAATGACGCTGATGGTTCCTTTCAAATGGGACTAAATTACATCTGTATTCATCGTGAGATGGAAGCAGGAGAAAAAGAGCCTTTATGATCAAATCAGAGGCCAATTTAAGTGTTAATCTAGATTTAAGGTTTCAGTGGAATAAAGTTTCAGACTGTGTGTTTGTCCTGTGCAGGTGTGTCCCCGACAGCCAGAGGTCCTTCGGTCTTGGTATTCAGTGGATTGTGGTGCGTTTATTTGGTAAGCATCATTTTATYTTTCTCTGTCGGCTCAGAGTCATCACACGTCTCATTATTTCCTGTCCTTCTCTCGCAGGCAGTGTTCCAGGACCAATAGCGTTTGGCTCTGTGATCGACATCTCCTGCCTGCTGTGGCAGGACCAGTGTGGCGAGCAGGGCTCCTGCTACATCTACCAGAACTCAGCCATGAGCCTGTACACGCTCATCGCTGGCGTCATCTTCAAGGTAATCCACCAGCTGACGACTGAGACCTGSTTTAAAACTCTCTAAATGTTTCACCTGCAGGGGTGGAGCTGTGACGTGAAGGGGACAGTTTATTTAAAAGGCCTGACGTCAGCCTTGAACACCAGTGTTTAAAACTAAAGTTATCTTATTTTGAAAAAACACAAACRAAAAAGGTCTAGTCTTCTGGACAAATGTTGAAAATAATGCTAAATGCAGCTGATGTCATAACGTTGCAAAAGAAAAAACCTCTCAAAAATCCAATTATTTGCTTTTAAATTAAGAAAATAACAGAAAAAGAATACTGGATTCTCTGGTCCTCTTTCCACAATAAATAAATAAATAAATAAGAAAGATTACCAAAAAATGTAAATGTAATTACTTTGGTTTTAAAGTTGTGTAGCTGCCATGAGACTAAAAAGGAGAAACCATAAAACTATTTTGCTTTTAAAGTATTACCTTTAGGGCCAGACTTGACCAGCGGGCCATGAGTTTGACATGTACTGTATGTTTAGTTT